CTCTTTCTTCTCTCGAGCAGCCCTGGGGTGTGGGTCACAGAGGGCCTTATGAAGGGCTGAGAAGGCAGCACAGACATCATCTGCTTTTCGCAGAGCCACAGCACCAGCACAGCAGAAACCCCTCCAGACCACACCACCAGGCCACACACGGGCTGTCCAACACCTTCAGCTACACAAGGAGTTTGTAAAAACTGGGAGCCTGTCTCACAGGCAGACAGAAGTTTAAAATGGGGCAACTCCACTTGCAAGCAACAGGTCCAAACTGCACCGAACACACCACTCCCCGTGGCCCCAGGCACGGGGGGGAAGAGGCACGACTGCACCTCCCACCTCCTCCCCAAAAGCCAAGGGGTACCAGGTGCCTAGGAAAAGCAGCTTCTCTGCAAGCTCTAGTTAATAAGCTCCAACTGTATTGAAGGTGCTTAAACGAAGCACTGAGCACCATTACTGCACACCCACTGAAGGACCAACTCGTTTACAACTCTCTGTATTAAAGCTGAGTTGCTCCACTCTGATTACATCAACTTTATTTTTTCTCTAGCCAACAGATATCAAACTCTGAATCTCTATGAAAACCCCACTGTTGTGTTATGTCCTGCATTTCCCTTTTTCCTGCAAGCAGAACACTGCCCGGACAACCAAACAGACAAGTTTGTCAATAAAGCAAATGGATTTTTCTGAGTCATCAGCAGGAGCTCCCTGTTAGCGCAAAACAAATTAGATTTCAGCCTTCACAGGGTGCTATAAAAAGCAATAAAGATAATTATCTTAAATTCCAACTATTTCCAGTGCTTTATCAGAGAAAATAGACAGTTTACATTTTATCTTCCTCCAGAGACAAGTGAATGATCTGTATTTATTTTCAGGCAGATATGAATCTCCCTCATCCCCAGGGATGGGGAGGAATAATGGGAGCAAGCCTGCTCTGCTGCCAGGAGGGAGCATCCAGACATCTTCCCCAGCCAGGTCCTGGATCAGGATCTGATGGACTGTTAGAGAAGGGGCTAATTAAACCCTCGGCTCTCTTTCAGATGCAAAACCCGAGAGACTGCCCCACGCAGAACCTCCTCGTTAGGCACAGGAGCTCTCTGCCAGCACTGAGTCCTCAGCATCCTCTGTGCCGACAGTGGAGCAGCTGCATGAAAGCACCAAGGATGGAGAGCAGTTTTCAGCACATAGACGCCATGTGCTTCCAAAAATGCCACTGCTGAGGGGAAACAAATTGCCGATCAGCTTTTAAAAGTCAGAGAGGTTCAGCTTCACTGGAAAGAGAAGAAAACTCATTAATGAAAAAGTCACAGAATCATAGTATATTAAAGGGTTGGAATTGACCTCAGAGATCATCCAGCCCCAACCCCCTGCCCTGGACAGGGAACACCTCCCAGCAGAGCAGGTTGCTCAAGGCTTTGTCCAACCTGGCCTTGAGCACTGCCAGGGCTGGGGCAGCCACGGCTTCTTCCTAATATCTAATCCAAATTTCCCTCTTTCAATTTATACCCATTACAAAGTCAAATACACAAATTTCTTCACCCAGAAACTGCCCAGCCCACATCCCCAACGTGGGGAACATGGTGGGTTCCCTGTCCCAAACATCCACAGCTCAGTCATCAGAGCAATGCTTTAAATACTGCATGTTCATCTGAAACTACCCCACATCCTTTAAACCAGAGCGACACCGGTCTTTGGGCAGAACAACAGGAATAATATGGCCATGACCAAAACAGCAACCAGCAGAAAAGGGCACTGGAAAATTTCCTGGGCTCCTGTTACAACTGTTTATTGCTCCAAAGACAGTCAGGGAAAATAAACAGGCAAGGCAGAAGTCCTTTATGTCCTTCACAGTGATGTCTGTGCTCAGAAGAGAAGGTGTGCGAGACGGAGGGAGGAAATATGAGGTGCAGGTTGTACTTGTCCCCGCAGAGATCCCTTCCCAGGGGCCAGGCAGGGCTGGCAGCCCAGAGCTCCTGTGCAATGGCATAGAGCACTCCACAATGGAACAGTTCTGGCAGAATCTCCAGGCACCTGCTCCTCACCACACTTGATGCCAAATACAAAAGCACAGGGAAAGGAGAGTACCAAACCTATCTCTCCATGATTCCAGACAGCTGCCAGTCCAGTGGCTTCGCTACCTGGCTCAGGGCAGTCTGTGTCTTTGGGCAGAACTTCTCTCTTTGGCACTGGAATGCTGCAGGTGCAGGACAAAAGCCTTTTCAAGGATCACGTCCCAGCAGTGCTGCCATGACACTGGCCCAAGGAAGTCACACACCAGTTCAAAGCAAGCCAGTACCTGGTAACAGGGCTGGAGGAGAAGGATTGTCTTTTTAACTTGCATATACCCAAACTGGGACTAGAGACTGAACTTACAAAGGGTTTGAAGCAAACTCTATCTACAAGCTCATTGGTAAGGACAAAAACTGCAACTTCAAAGTTTTGGAGAACACTGGACACAATCCTGTGCCATGTGCTCTAGGATGACCCTGCTTAAGCAGGGAGGTGGGACCAGATGACTCACTGTGGTCCCTTCCAACCTTACCCATTCTTTGAACATTTCAGCTTCCCTTTTCCATAAACAGTCAGTGCACCAGTACAGCTCAAAGAGACTCCCTGGTTTCGTACTGTTGTTTTAAGCTGGTTAGCACTCCGAGCAGGATGCAGCTCACAAGCACAGCTCTCCCATAGCTGTGCAGGACAATCACGGCTCCCTGGAGCCAGAAAATTTGCATCAGTCTAAGATGCCCTCAAAATCGTGGGCCCTTCTGTGGAGTTCAGCTCCAGTACCGGCACCTTGTACTTTAATCCGGTGACACACAGCAGCGTCCCAAGCTGCAGCCCAAGCCTCAGTCCCCCCACAGCGCTGCCAGGGAAGCTGAGCAGCCCAGCTCACCTTGCCAGACCCAGCCTACAGCTCAAGCTCAGCCTTGGCTTCCCCTAGTCCGAGGGACGCGGGCACCGAAGGGCCCAGCAGCCACCAGATGCCACCACTGCACAGAGCCCCTGGCTGCGGCCAGCCACTGGCAGAGTGTGCCACGGCCTCGGCCACCCCAGGGCTGCCCCTCTGCCTTTGCCCTTCAGGCAGCTCAGCCACCACACGCGAAGGGAAGGTTCCAAACCTCCATTTCTGTGGCTGACAGGGCTCGCTCAGCCGAGCTGGCTGCTCGCAGCCCAGCGCAGCTCGTTGTGCTGCGCCCGAGGGTGCTGGCATCCCCCCGCAGGGCAGTGCTGCTGCCACCCCAGCGGGTGAGGATGCTCACACCCCACCGCGCCCTGGGGACAGCGGCTGCCGACAGAGAACACACTCCTGTCTGAAGCTTCTTTTGCATCAACCCATCTCTTTTCTTGACCGATATCTAGCGTGATGCAACAAAATGAATGAGGCTTGGAAAACAAGTCTGGGCAGGTCTCTCGGATTTAGCATTCAAGGCAACTCCTGTGCTGTTTTTCCAACCCTGCTTTAGACTCCTGCTCATGCTGACGCCATCCCAGCCCCATTCCTGGAGCTGTGAGCCGACCTGGCACAGGGCACTGTGCAAAGGGATCTGCTGCCACCAGGCCTGATGTCAGACACACAATTCTCCTCCCCAGAGACAGGTTTCACACTCCTGGGCAAGACTCCAAGAAATTCCAAACCTTTCTTTCTTTTGCCAGTTGGTATAAAGAAAACCTAAGACAGCAAGGCATTTTCCCATGGGAATACACGGGATGTGTTATAGGAAACTCTAACCTCTTCCAAATTCCTCATGCAGCACACAGCATACTTTGCATCAATATGATCCAATGGGTATAAACTGAAAGAGGGGAATTTAGATAAGGTATTAGGAAGTTTTTCCCTGTGAGGGTGGTGAGACACTGTCCCAGGGTGCCCAGGGAGGCTGTGGCTGCCCCAACCCTGGCAGTGTTCACAGCCAGGTTGGATGAGCCTTGAGCAACCTGCTCTGGTGGGAGGTGTCCCTGCCCAGGGCAGGGGTTGGGGATGGATGATCCCTGAGCTCCATTCCAACCCCTTAGCATATTATGCTAGTATGACCTGAAAGCCTCACTCCCAGCCTGAGCTCAGGTAAAGCTTTCACCCAAAAGACGACACCTAACATGAACTGGAAAAGCAAAACTCCCCCTACAGTTTTCTCCCAGCACTTGATTTTACTTTGAATCAGCTGAGAGCCCCCTTCCTCTTGGGAATTCACGGCTTGGAGATAGGTGTACCTCCACTCTGCCAAGCCCCTGACCTGCACCTGCATGAGTAGCAGCACACAAAAAAGCAAGGGAGGAGGCACCAGGCCAGCAGCACATGGAAGTCACGTTGGAAAAGGCAGAAAGACAAGGAAGATGTGTATTTCATGCTCTCCCTTTAAACAGATTAATCGCTCAGGAAATTTGCTTTAAATAGCTCAAGTGAACAAGGCTCTATAAATATTTACTACTGAAACACAGCAGCCTCTGGGCT